CCCACCCACTCACTCACCCACTCACTCACCCACTCACTCACTCACCCACTCACTCACCCACTCACTCACCCACTCACTCACCCACTCACCCACTCACTCACTCACTCACCCACCTACTCACTCACCCACTCACTCACCCACTCACCCACTCACCCACTCACCACTCACCCACCCACCCACCCACTCACCCACCCACTCACTCACTCACCCACCCGCTCACCCACCCACTCACCCACCCACCACCTCACTCACCCACCACCTCACTCACCCACGCACCCACCCACCCGCTCACTCACCCACTCACCCACCCACCCGCTTACTCACCCACCCACCCGCTTACTCACCCACTCACCCAACCACCTGCTCACTCACCCACCTACCTGCTCACTCACCCACTCAACCACCCACCCACTCATTCATCCACCTATCCGCTCACTCACCCACTAAACCACCCACCCGCTCACTCACCCGCTCACTCAACCACTCACCCAACCACTCACTCATTTATTCACCCGACCATCGTAGCCTCCACCCTATTGTCGAGGACGCGGCCTGCCAGACCAGCCGGGCCTGCTGGACGGCAGCTCGCATCCACGCAGCCGGGAGCCGCCCTCAACCATGAGACGTCCCCAGCGTTCAAATCGCGACGTTTGCCGAACTGGTGGTGTGGGCAAGGCTGAGTGAGACCGCGCCCTCTGCGCGTTCGCGGTTATCGAGCGGCGCCACGAACCCGGCGACCCGAGTTCGACTCCTGCTCTCGGCCAACACCCAGTGACGTTCGTCTGAACCGGTCCTGGGGCCTCCCCTAGGTCGACTCGGCCTCAACGGGAAAAAAATAGAATTGAGTAACCTCGCTTGGCGTGTCAACGTCGGCAGTGCCAGATCCAGCTCGCGCGGGTACCTGTAGCATGTGATGTTATTAAGGGGCCCTACATAAAAAAGAAAACACATTTTTTACTTACATAGTAAAATAACTGCATTTTTTTAATTTGCTATACAGCCGGATGATACGACAAATCGCTAACGTTAAACACCCAGTCGTTTATAAAAGTTGAAGGCGGTATAGTACTATAGTAATAGAGCTAGTGCAGAACCACTGAACCGGAATTGATAGCTTGAAAGCGTTTAGCGCGGGGCCCTTGAAAGTGCGGGGCCCGTAGCTACTACATATGTAGTAGCTACTACATATGTGGCTAATACATGTGTAGCTACTACTACATATGTAGTAGCTACTACATATGTAGTAGTAGCTACTACATCTGTAGCAGCTATTTTTTGCTACGACGATAATCCGGCACTGGGCAGTGTGATCCTGACGAGGGGACGTGCGGCTGATACTCGAGCCGCGTTCCTCCGAATTGTCCCCGAGTATCGATCACGGGACAGATCGATCCGGCCCGACAGGCATCACTCGGTCCGGGGGGGTGGTAATCAAAAGTCGACCAAAGCCTCGCAACATCGTCACTCACTGCCACCACCACCACACACTCACCAGCTACAGACATCACCACACGCCCGGCAACACCTTCACGAGGGCTGATCTAAAGACGTAGATCTGCGCTGTAGAGAAGGGTCATTGCCCGAAACGTCAACCATTGCATATTTATTTCTCCCCCCTCCCCTCTGCTCATCCCACCCGCCCATCGCCACCAAACGAAAGCCACTCCGTGCATTCTCTGTTCTTTTTCATTCATTCAAAGGCAACTCAGACAGGTGTTTTAGATTCCCATTTAATACTCGACGAGTCAAATCCGACGCAGCCCAAATCTGTGGCCCACCCCTCTCCTCTCCACTAGCCCCCCACCTCATCCATGGCTGGTCACCACGAGGATGATTTGGGACCTAGGGAGTTGCAGGCAACGTAAACTGTTGCGGCGTAGAGCGTTGTGGTTTCATTTCGTTCTGGCACATTAACAAATACAAATAGAACAATTTAAAGCTTTTGTGACTGCAGGGATTCATCTTCTTGGTTCTTTCGGTAAAGTAACGTATAATGGAAATAATAAAATAATAAAAATAAAACGTATTAAAATAATTCTCACGACGTTTCGGCCACAACGCAAGCAGCCGTCCTCAGGTGAAGAACAGGTCTGTCAGACGCTGTCTTTCTGGCAGACCTGTTCTTCACCTGAGGACGGCTGCTTGCGTTGTGGCCGAAACGTCGTGAAAATTATTTTATTATGTTTTATTTTTATTATTTTATTATTTCCATTCTACGTGACTTTACCGAAAGAACCAAGACAAATAGAACACGCAACGACATCCTTACACCTTCCTCTGTAACATCGTAGTCTGAAATGGGAGGGGGGTGGGGAGAATTTATATGATAGCGATGTTTCGAGCAATAGCCCTTCGTCACATATATATTCGCGGTTCTAGGCCTGGGGGGGGGGGGGGTGGAGAGAAGGGCGCAGGCTGTGGCATGGATACCGTGCAAGGAGAAATGTCGAAATGCGTGCCGGGTAGGAAACGTGAGCGACGAAGCACGTGGCGGCTACGAGACAACGCGAATACACACTCACGCACTCACACACAACTCATATATCCACGCGATCTAACCCAACAAAAACACTCGACTACGGGTAGAGGTGTGGACATTCGATCCCCCTGATGACGATGTCGCTTGCAATCACTGGCGAGACGTCGTGCTCGGGTTGTCCGTGCTTGTGGCTTGGCTCTGCAACGCAAGCGGTGCGCTGTGCCAGTGACGAGCTTCGCCGCGTTCTCTTGACGTCACAAACCTTTACGAATCGTTCGCGTCGGGTGGTGGCGGGTTTGACGAACACATTTATACATTTACGCGATCTCCCCCCCCCCCCCCAAAAAAAAAAACCTCTACTACGAATAGAGGTGTGGACATACGGTCTTTCAGTGTGTTTGTCTATAGGGGTGGGTGGGTAGTGGTGGGTGGGTGGTGGTAATGGGTGGGTGGTGGTAGTGGTGGGTGGGTGGTGGGTGGTCAGTTAACTTGATTTTGGGTGAGGAGGGGAGGGGGGAGCTAAAACACAGCGAGCGCACGTGGTGCATCTGCAGGTCACGTGTCAGTCAAAAACATTCTAAATTATTTTAGTTTTTATTGGACCAGGTAAGGCCCTCACTGAGCTGCGTAGCTCCTCTCTCTTTATCAGAAGAGATTCGGCCGTCACCAAACGATGGCTCGGCGAAGTGTGGTGGGCCCGTCATCGTCATCACGTGGGCATTCATAGCAGCAGCCAACTACTCGAAACGCGTGACGGTTGATTCTAAACGCGGAGGGGGAAAAAACCAGAGGACCCGGAGAAAAATCCACGCGACCACGGAGAAAGAGACACGCAAACTCCAAATATACAGCAGGCCTCAATGTCTGGATGAAACCCACCACCTCCTGTAGACCACGCGAGGTAGTTAACATCTCCTAGCCTAGCCACCGTGATAATTATGAGAGAGAGACACGCAAACTCCAAATACACAGCAGGTGTCAAGGTCTGGATCGAACCCACGGGACCTCGTGTAGACCAGGCGAGGGAGTTAACATCTCCTAGCCACCGTGATGATGATGAGAGAGAGACACGCAAACTCCAAATATACCGCAGCAGGCGTCAGGATCGGGATCGAACCCACCACCTCCTGTACACCAGGCGAGGTAGTTAACATCTCCTCGCCACCATGGCACCCGGGCTACATGACCCATCCAACGCAACTTCTCCTGCCGGAATGATCCCGATAATATCTCAACACACCCGCAGAGACACGCACGCAAAGACACCGATCCCACCGTAAAGACACGCAGACTGTTATGGCAACGTGCTAGTAAACGGGCCCCCCGTGACGGTCGACTCAGCCTCAAATGAGAACCTGGTGCCTCAGGGAAACAAAGGCAGCCGGGCGTGGTTGCTGGCCACCGATCCCACCACGTGGGGTTGTACTTGGACTTCTTTCGCGCCGTACGTAACCAACCGCGCTAATCGGAGGTGCGGGGGGTGTTGGAGGATAACAAAATAAACACAACAACAAGCGATTGGAAAGAAATTAGCTTTCTTTTGAGGCTGAGTCGACCTAGGGGAGGCCCAAGGCCGGTTCAGATAATCGTCACTGGTGTTGGCCGTGAGCGGGAATCGAACCCGGATCGCTGGGTTCGTAGCGCAGCGCGCTAACCACTACACTACTGCTCCCCAATAACATAAAAACACGTGTGCGCACTTACACACGTACACATGTACACACACACACCTACACACACCTACACACACGTGTACACACACACACGTACGTGTACACACACACAATCACACACACAACAAAGATCCCCCATATAGCCTTAACAGACTGTAGGGGCAAGTGCTGTTAGCGAGCACCTATGAAGGCCGCAACGGTACACGAGGGGGTGGGTGGCCAGCACCACGCCCGACCGCCTTTGTCTCCCCAGTGGCGATGTTTACACACCACATTAGGTACTCATTTTAGGCTGAGTCGACCTAGGGGAGGCCCAGGACCGGTTCAGATAATCGTCACTGGTGTTGGCCGTGAGCGGGAATCGAACCCGGGTCGCTAGGTTCATAGCGCAGCGCGCTAACCGCTACACTATCGCTCCCCACAATCACACACACGTGTACACACACACACGTACGTGTACACACACACGTGAACACACACACACGTGTACATACACACACACACAGTGGCGTGAAGCCCAGGATCAGGCCACATCTCGGCAGAGTCAACGCCTCGCGCCTTTCTGTGGGGGTCCGGGACTCAGCCTCTGTGCCCCCCCCTCCCCCCCACGAGAATTGATTGACAGTTCCCCTGCAACTCGTCGTTGATGATCATAAGTCAGTGGCGGCCATTCCACGTTCACATGGCCGTGCTCAGCTTATGCTCTTGTCCGCCTCATCCGTTCATCTTGCGCACTTTCGCCGGCAGCTGGTGTCCACCCTGCATCCACGCCGCCGCCGGCTGTGGTTGTGGTGGCTGTGGTGATGATGGTGGTGGTTGTTGTTGTTGTGGTGGTGGTTCAGTGCCACCGCGGATGACGCGTCCCGAGTCGGACGGGTCCACCACGAGGTCGCCCGCCGAGCTCCAAGCGGCGGCGCGGTGCCGCGGCCTTCGCTCGGCCCCGCCGGGGGAACTTCCCACCCTGGGCCTCCCCCCCAGTCCCCCCTCCTCGAGCCCCCCCAGCACCCCCAGCACCCCCATCTTCCCCGCCAGTGTCCGGGATTGAACCTCGAAGCCGACGCTCATCTTCCGGAGTTTGGGCGGCAGCACAACCTGCTGCTGATGCTGATGCTGTTGATGCTGCTGCTGATGCTGCTGCTGATGCTGCTGCTGATGATGCTGCTGCTGCTGATGCTGCTGATGCTGCCTGTGCACAGCGAAGCTGGAGGTCAAGGTCGGCGTTCTATTCGGGGGCAAGGTCGGAGTGACCACGCTGCCTCGACCTCCTGTTCCTCCTGCACCTGCTCCATCTCGCCCTCCTTCCTCTCCTCTGCATCTTCCTCCTCCTCCTTCTCCATCTTCTCCATCTTCTCCATCTCCTCCATCTCCTCCATCTCCTCCTCCTCTTCCTCCGTCGCTGGGCCCCGCAAGGCCCCAGCTGGCCTCGGGCTCGTCCCGCTGCCTGGCGCTCAGCTCCGGCGTGGGCACCTCGAGGGTGGCGTGGAACTGCGAGTAGTCGACGCGGAAGAAGCCCTCCTCCAGGGACATGACGGGCAGGAAGCGGTGGCCCCACAGCACCTCGTCCTCCGTGTACGAGGTGCGCGCCTGGCACGTCATCCCTGCGCTCACCGACAACACGGGACGAATGCAACACAAAGACAAAGATTCAACCACCATCCCAGTATAGCCTTGGCAAGACTGTTGGGGCAAGTGCAGTTAGCGAGCAGCACCTATGAAGGCTGCCGGCACTGTGGCGCACGAAGGGGTGGCACCACGGCCGGCCGCCTTTGTCTCCCCAGTGGCGATGTGTACCACACACCGCACCGGGTACTCATTTGAGGCCGAGTCGACCTAGGGGAGGCCCCAGGACCGGTTCAGACAAACGTCACTGGGTGTTGGCCGTGAGCGGGAGTCGAACTCGGGTCGCCGGGTTCGTGGCGCCGCGCGCTGACCGCTACACTACCGCGAACGCGCAGAGGGCGCGTTCTCACTCAGCCTTGCCCACACCACCAGCGCGGCAAACGTCGCGATCGCGTGGCGGCGTGAATGGATGTCTCAGGGTTGGGGGCGGCTCCCGGCTGCGTGGATGTGAGCTGAACGTCCAGGAGGCCCGGCTGGTCTGGCAGGCCGCGTCCTCGACAAGGGTGGAGGCAACGATGGTCGGGTGAGTCAATGAGTGGGTGAGTGGGTGAGTGGGTGAGTGAACGGGTGGGTAAGTGGGTGAGTGGGTGGGTGAGTAAGTGGGTGAGTGAGTGGGTGGGTGAGTGGGTGAGTGAGCGGGTGGGTGGGTGAGTAACTCACACTGATGATGTCTTATCGCCGAAAGTGACCCCCCCCAACTCACACTGATGAAGGTGGTGTGGTGGGGTGGGCGTGGGGTGGGGGTGGTGGTGGAGTGGTAGTGGTGGGGTGGGAGTGGTAGGGGTAGGGTGGTGGGGGTGTTGGTGCGGTGGTGGTTGTGGTGGTGGGGGTGGTGGAGGTATTGGTGCGGTGGTGGGGGTGGTAGTGAGGGTGGTGGTGGTGGGGCTGGTGCAGTGGTGGGGCTGGTGGTGGTAGGGGTGGGGTGGTGGTTGAGGTGGTGGGGGTGGTGGTGGTGGGGGTGGGGCTGGTGGTGGGGCTGGTGGTGGGGCTGGTGGTGGGGGTGGTGGTGGTGGTGGAGCTGGTGGTGGTGGGGGGCTGGTGGTGGGGGCTGGTGGTGGGGCTGGTGGTGGGGGTGGTGGTGGTGGTAGGGCTGCTGGTGGTGGTGGTGGGGCTGCTGGCTTGTAAACACCACGACCCACCGGTGGTCTCCACGATGCCCTCCAGGATGACGACGATCTCGAGCTGGGGCGAGCCGTCGCGCAGCGAGGCACGCGACATCTCGTACAGGGGGCTGCTCGCGTCCACCACGTGGCAGATGGTGAGCGGGGAGACGAGGAACAGCTGATCGGCGCCCGAGCTGAAGCCAACGTCCAGGTCGAGCTGGTCAAGCGGCAGGAACTCCCCCTCGGCCGTCTGGCGAGACTGGGTCGGGGGGTGAGAGCCGCGGTTGACCGGAGGAGCAGTGAGTGTTCGAGAGAGAGAGAGTGTTAGAGAGAGAGTGAGTGTTAGAGAGAGAGTGAGTGTTCAAGATAGAGTGAGTGTTAGAAAGAGAGTGTTCGAGAGAGAGTGAGTGTTAGAGAGAGAGTGAGTGTTAGAGAGAGAGTGAGTGTTCAAGATAGAGTGAGTGTTAGAAAGAGAGTGTTCGAGAGAGAGTGAGTGTTAGAGAGAGAGTGAGTGTTCAAGATAGAGTGAGTGTTAGAAAGAGAGTGTTCGAGAGAGAGTGAGTGTTAGAGAGAGAGTGAGTGTTCAAGATAGAGTGAGTGTTAGAAAGAGAGTGTTCGAGAGAGAGTGATGTTAGAGAGAGAGTGAGTGTTCAAGATAGAGTGAGTGTTAGAAAGAGAGTGTTCGAGAGAGAGTGATGTTAGAGAGAGAGAGTGAATGGGGGCGTTCTGCGTTATAATGGGGGGGGGGGGGGGCGAATTCCGCGTTTTAACTGGGGGTGCGTTCCGCATTGTGCGAAAAGTGTTTCTGAACGGGAGAACCGCGTTACAGGGACTCTACTTAGGAGCATTCGACTTACGAACTTTTAGAGATACGAAAAAAACCTGGTCCGTATGTCCAGTTGCCTGTTCGGACCGAGAATCGTAAGTAAGTTCAACCACCACGCAATAGATGGCATTGGTGGTATCTACATCTGCAGAACATGAAGCACCAGTGGCATCTACATCTGCAAAATGTGAAGAACCAGTGGCATCTACATCTGCAGAACATAAAGAACCAGTGGCATCTACATCTGCAGAACATGAAGCACCAGTGGCATCTACATCTGCAGAACATTAAGAACCAGTGGCATCTACATCTGCAGAACATTAAGAACCAGTAGCATCTACATCTGCAGAACGTGAAGAACCAGTGGCGTCTACATCTGCAGAACGTGAAGAACCGGTGGCATCTACACCTGCAGAACGTGAAGAACCAGTGGCATCTACATCTGCAGAACGTGAAGAACCAGCGGCATCTACATCTGCAGAACATTAAGCACCAGCGGCATCTACATCTGCAGAACATGAAGAACCAGTGGCATTTACAGCTGCAGAACGTGAAGAACCAGTGGCATCTACATCTACAGAACATGGAGAACCAGTGGCATCTACAGCTGTAGAATGTGAAGAACCAGTGGCATCTACATCTGTAGAATGTGAAGAACCAGTGGCATCTACATCTGCAGAACGTGAAGAACCAGTGGCATCTACATCTGCAGAACGTGAAGAACCAGTGGCATCTACATCTGCAGAACATTAAGCACCAGCGGCATCTACATCTGCAGAACATGAAGAACCAGTGGCATTTACAGCTGTAGAATGTGAAGAACCGGTGGCATTTACATCTGCAGAACGTGAAGAACCAGTGGCATCTACATCTGCAGAACATGAAGAACCAGTGGCATTTACATCTGCAGAACATGAAGAACCAGTGGCATTTACATCTACAGAACATGAAGAACCGGTGGCATTTACATCTGCAGAACGTGAAGAACCAGTGGCATCTACATCTGCAGAACATGAAGAACCAGTGGCATCTACATCTGCAGAACATGAAGAACCAGTGGCATTTACAGCTGCAGAACGTGAAGAACCAGTGGCATCTACATCTGCAGAACATGAAGAACCAGTGGCATCTACAGCTGCAGAACGTGAAGAACCAGTGGCATCTACATCTACAGAACATGAAGAACCGGTGGCATTTACATCTGCAGAACATGAAGAACCAGTGGCATCTACATCTGTAGCACGTGAAGAACCAGTGGCATCTACATCTGCAGAACGTGAAGAACCAGCGGTATCTACATCTGCAGAACATTAAGCACCAGCAGCATCTACATCTGCAGAACATTAAGCACCAGTGGCATCTACATCTGCAGAACATGAAGAACCAGTATCATCTACATCTGCAGAACGTGAAGAACCAGTGGCATCTACATCTGCAGAACGTGAAGAACCAGTGGCATCTACATCTGCAGAACATGAAGAACCAGTGGCATCTACATCTGCAGAACATGAAGAACCAGTGGCATCTACACCTGCAGAACATGAAGAACCAGTGGCATCTACATCTGCAGAACGTGAAGAACCAGTGGCATCTACATCTGCATAATGTGAAGAACCAGTGGCATCTACATCTGCAGAATATGAAGAACCAGTGGCGTCTACATCTGCAGAACACGAAGAACCAGTGGCATCTACATCTGCAGAACATGAAGAACCAGTGGCATCTACATCTGCAGAACGTGAAGAACCAGTGGCATTTACATCTGCAGAACATGAAGAACCATTGGTATCTACATCTGCAGAACGTGAAGAAACAGTGGCATCTACATCTGCAGAACGTGAAGAACCAGTGGCATCTACATCAGCAGAACGTGACTAACCAGTGGCATCTACATCTGCAGAACATGAAGAACCAGTGGCATCTGCATCTGCAGAACGTGAAGAACCAGTGACATCTACAGCTGCAGAACGTGAAGAACCACTGGCATCTACATCTGCAGAACGTGAAAATCCAGCGGTATCTACATCTACAGAACGTGAAGAACCAGTGGCATCTACATCTGCAGAATATGAAGAACCAGTGGCGTCTACATCTGCAGAACGTGAAGAACCAGTGGGGTCTACATCTGCAGAACATGAAGAACCATTGGCATCTCCATCTGCAGAACGTGAAGAAACAGTGGCATCTACATCTACAGAACGTGAAGAACCAGTGGCATCTACATCTGCAGGAGATTCTACAAGTTTTTAAGCCATTCCCCCGTGTTTACTGTACATGCCGTACATGTTTGGAATCAACAGGAGTAAAGTTGGACTTACGAACAATACCTCTGGAACTCAACACGTTCGTAAGTGGAGAACTCCTTGTATAGCGAACACACGCTTCTAGTGTGAAGACCAGGCGTTAAGCGAGGACGTACCGTCACAGCAACAACAATAACAACAACAACAATACGTAATAATGATGATGACGTTGATGAAGCGGACGATACCTTGATGAGCTTGCAGCGGATCTGCGCGGACACCATGTGACTGCTACGCAGGTTCCCCACGCGGAACATGAGGCAGAGGCTCCCGTCCCGGCTCGAGACCACCGCCTCGCGGCTGAACATCAGCGTCTCGGCTCGCTTCTTCGGCTGGGACATCTTCCTCGTGAGCACGTGGCACGAGGTGGGGGAGGGTATGTAGGTCGGGGGAGAGAGAGGAGAGACGGGGGGGGTAGGTCGGGGGAGAGCGAGAGAGTGAGCTGGGGGGGGGGTTACATAAAGCCAAGTGAAATTTTTTTAAATAATTTTTTTTTTTACGAAAAGATGAACGAAGCAAAGTGCCGAATACACCGAGCATCTTCTTGCTTCCACTGATCGTAAAAAAAGAGAGAGGAGAGACGTGGGGGGGGGGGGGGGGGGTGTAGGTCGGGGGAGAGAGAGGAGAGACGTGGGGGCGTGTAGGTCGGGGGAGAGAGTGGAGAGACGTGGAGACATGGGAATATGAGAACACAAGGCGGCACGTGGAGAGGGTGGGGGGTACATGGGGACTTTGGGAGGGACACAGTAGACACGAGGAGAGACACGGGGTAGACACGTGGAGCCGAAGAGACACTGGGGACAAGCGGGGATATGAGACGGGGGAGACACGGGGGAGACACGGGGGTGTGGGTGGTGGGGGGGGTGCGACACGGGGAGGGACGAGGACACAGAGACAAATCAGGACAAGTGGTGACACTTTGAGAGACACAGGGAGCACACGTGGGGACACGTGGGGGGACACGAGGGGGGACACGGAGAGACGTGGGGACACGGGACACGCGTGGGCACACGGGGGACACGTGGGGACACGCGGGGGGTACGTGGGGACACACGGGGGACACGTGGAGACACGTGGGGACACGTGTGAAGACACGTGACACGAGGGGGGACACGGGACACGTGACACGCGTGGAGACGTGTGGAGACACGTGGGGACACGCGGGGGACACGTGGGGACACGCGTGGAGACACGTGGGGGCACGCGGGGGACACGTGGGGACACGCGTGGAGACACGTGGGGACACGCGGGGGACACGCGTGGAGACACGAGCCCTTCCCCACGGCCGGGCGAGAGCCGAACCATCAGCGACGGCCTCTCAACCTCCGAGCTGGAGAGGGTCGACATCGTCACTGCTCCTCCTCACCTTGATGAAGATGCAGCCCATGAGGAAGGCGTCCACCACGGAGCCGAGGAGCGACTGGAAGAGGAAGAGGAGGATGCCCTCGGGGCAGCGCTCCGTGATGTAGCGGTGGCCGTATCCGATGGTCGCCTCCGTCTCGATGAAGAAGAGAAAGGCGGTGGCGAAGCTGTGCACGTTGGCGACGCACGCCGAGTAGGGGACACCTCCTCCATCACCACCACCACCTTCTCCATCGCCTCCTCCGCATCCTCCTCCGCCGTGCAGCCCGGCGTCGAGGTCACCGCGCAGGTAGGCGATGCCCCACCAGAGCGAGGCCATGGCGAGCCACGCCGCCGAATAGGTGAGCACGAAGATGGCCACGTTCCATCGCCAGCGGAGGTCCACCAAGGTGGTGAAGATGTCTGAGAGGTAGCGGCCCGCCTCGCCGCTCACGTTGCCGTGCTGGACATTGCAGTGTCCGTCCTTCTCCACGAAGCGCTGCTGACGACGAGACCTCCTCGTCCTCCTCTCCCCACTCCCAGCGGCATCCCGCGGGGTCTGTGAACTCGGCCCACTGCTGCTGCTGCGGCGGTGGTAGTGGTGGTGGTCAGACTCTGGGGAGCGGTCAGGAGTCGCGAGAGAGGCCCTCCACCTGGAGGAGGAGGAGGATGAGGGGGATGAGGCTGGCGGCTCGCTCAGGAGGGCCGAGCGTGTCACAGTGGCCGTGCGATCGCCCGGAGTGGACACCACGAAAGAGTCCACCCCCCCCGTCTTCATTCGCGCGGCGGTGGCCATGGAGGATGGAGGGGTTCAGCTGCGAAGGGTGGTGGTGGTCGTGGTGGTGGTGGTTGTCAGCAAGAGGATCATGAGTAGCAGAATCAGGAGCATGGTGTGGAGAAGCAGCAGAAGACGCAGTGATGTCTTCGTTTTACTCTACATCATCATCACCGTCGGCAGTGGCTTCATCATCCTCTACATCATCATCCTCTACATCATCAGCATCGTTGGCAGTGGCTTCATCATCCTCTACATTATTATCAGCATCGTCGGCAGTGTCTTCAAATGTTTTAGATCAGAACAATGTCCATCAGTGTTGTCATTAAATGTATCTTCACGATCCTCAACAATCTACATCATCACCATCAGTGTCTTCTTCACCGTGAGTATGCACATCGTCTCAATGAATATCATCTCGTTATAAATCATCACCGTCATCCTCCTCACTATCTCGTCCATCACCATATTCACTGGTCCAGCTTCATCATCATCATCACCGTCGTTATCATCTCTCACATCATCACCTCCATCGGTACCCTCGCTGGTGGCTATTCGCAAGAACGATCTCCTTTGCACTCACGTGCTCGCTGCATCTCCTTGATTCACAATTACATCTCCTCTGGCTCCTGTATTTTTTGAAAAATCATCATCAATATCATCGTCGTCGTCATCACCATATTCGTCGGCGGATTTTTGATTGCACAAGTCGGAGAGAGTCCACGTAATGATACGTACTTACACACACCCACACTTAAATATGCGCGCACACACCAAATATAGAGACTCCCTCCCCCACGTGTAGCCTCCACAGGCTGTAGGGGCAAGTGCTGTGAGCGAGCACGGTGCACGGCTGGGAGGTGTGGCCAGAACCACGCCCAAGCCGCCTTTGTCTCCCCCACCCACCCCTCCCCCCCAGTGCCGATGATTAATACCACACACAGTACCAGCTACTCATTTAAGGCTGAGTTTCCCTAGAGGATGCCCAGGGCCGGCTCAGATATTCGCCGCCAATGTGAGCCCCGCCGTGGATTCGGGTTCCGCTGGCAGCGTTCAGAGCGCAGTGCGCTAACCACTGCGCCACCGCTCCCCCATTCAATTGACTCAACACACGCGCACACACAACACGCGTGTCAACAAAAGATACGCGCGGACACTCGCACACACAGCCACACACAGCCACACCCAGGCACACAATTAGGCAGACGCAAACAACCGCACACAGGCAGAGAAAGGCACAGACAGAAAGACAACACAGCCACTCACAGACACACACAGACAGACACACAGCCACACAGAGCCACACACAGACAGACAGACACACAGATACAAAGACGGACACACGCAGACAGGCAGACGCACACAGCCACACAGGCAGACAGCCACACACAGACACACAGCCACACACTGCCTGTGTCTGCCTGTGCGTGGCTGACACACAGCCAGACAGACACACAGACACAAAGACGGACATACACAGGCAGGCAGACGCACACAGCCACACAGGCAGACAGCCACACACACACAGACACAGCCACACACAGGCAGACACACAGCCACTCACAGACACACAGGCAGACACACAGACACACAGCCACACACAGGCAGACACACAGCCACACACAGGCAGACAGCCACGCACCCCACTTCTTCTGAAACTCGCCCCCCACCTCCCCTCTCTTTGTTGATGAAACAACGGAGATGGGAGACGTGGTGAGAGGGAGGGAGAGCGGAGAGAGAGCAAGAGAGCGTGACAGAGAGAGCGTGACAGAAAGAGCGTGAGAGGGAGAGAACGTGAGAGGGAGAGAGCGTGACAGAGAGAGCGTGAGAGCGTGAGAGGGAGAGCGTGAGAGGGAGAGCGTGAGAGAGAGCGTGAGAGAGAGCGTGACAGAGAGAGCGTGAGAGGGAGAGCGTGACAGAGAGAGCGTGAGAGAGAGAGAGCGAGTGAAGGGAGTGAATTGAGGTGCGGAGTGAGGCGAGTGGCGAGTGAGAGAGAGACGAGGCGAAGCGAGGCGTGAGAGCAATGTATTACCCGATAACGAAGATGAGACGTTGTGAGAGGGAGGGAGAGCGGGGATATAGAGAGAGCGTGACAGAGAGAGCGTGAGAGAGAGAGCGTGACAGAGAGAGAGCGTGGCAGAGAGAGAGCGTGAGAGCGTGAGAGAGAGCGAGAGCGAGAGAGCGTGAGACTTTGACTTTTAAAGCGATTTTATTGCTGGGGCAACAATTGTGCCTCAGCCACTTTTACATTCAGGGTTTTCCATGGTCGACGACAGAACCACTCATTCCAGCGGATCAAAACCCAGAGTCCACCGTGGACGCAAGAAATGCAAAAAGACAAAACCCGTGGCACGTGCGCCACTCGCATCGTCCGCGAGCGCGCTGCTCCCTCGCACGCGCCGTATCGCCACTCCGCCACTCCACCACTCCGCCACTCCGCCACTCCACCACTCCACCACTCCGCCACTCCATCACTCCGCCACTCCACCACTCCGCCACTCCATCACTCCGCCACTCCGCCACTCCACCACTCCATCACTCCACCACTCCGCCACTCCATCACTCCACCACTCCGCCACTCCATCACTCCGCCACTCCGCCACTCCACCACTCCATCACTCCGCCACTCCACCACTCCGCCACTCCATCACTCCGCCACTCCACCACTCCGCCACTCCATCACTCCGCCACTCCGCCACTCCACCACTCCATCACTCCACCACTCCGCCACTCCATCACTCCACCACTCCGCCACTCCATCACTCCGCCACTCCGCCACTCCACCACTCCATCACTCCGCCACTCCGCCACTCCATCACTCCACCACTCCACCACTCCATCACTCCGCCACTCCGCCACTCCACCACTCCATCACTCCGCCACTCCGCCACTCCACCACTCCATCACTCCGCCACTCCGCCACTCCATCACTCCATCACTCCGCCACTCCGCCACTCCACCACTCCATCACTCCGCCACTCCGCCACTCCACCACTCCATCACTCCGCCACTCCGCCACTCCATCACTCCACCACTCCGCCACCCGCGCGCCGCGCCGCCACTCGCGCACGCGCACGCCGTCTTCGCGCGCCGCGGCACCCCATGCGTTGCGCCGTCGCGAGCGACGTGTCACGTGCATCACGCCACCGGTGCTCCACACCTTCGCGCGCGTGTCGCCCTTTCGGGCCGCCGAGGCGCCGCTCGCGCCGTGCCTTTATTCCGCCGGGGGCGCCCCACCGCCGCGTGCTCGCCGCCTCCCCGCGGTGCTGGCCGTGGCTTGCGCCGCATCTTCATTTGTCCACTCGCGCGCGCGCCGCCGGCCCGCTGCACGCGCCGCATCGCTGCGCTCTTGCCGCCCCCCGCCGGCGCTGGCCGCGGCTCGCTCCGCGTCACCGGGCACGCCGCACGACCGTGCGTGCACCGCCCTTCGGAGCGTCGGGGCTGCCACTCCCGCCACGCCGCCAGCCCGCCGCGCGCATCACACCGCCGCGCTTTGCCGCTTTCGGGCGGCATTGCCCGCGGCTCGCGCCACCGCGATGATCGGCGCACGCGCGCGACGGCGTGCTGCGTCGCCGGCAGTGCGGGCCGCCGCACGCGCGTAGCCTCTCCGCCGAGCAGTCACGCGATCGGTCCCGCCGCGCGTGACCATTTCCACCCCGCGTCTGCGGTCCATCTTGACTGAAAACGTCAGATTTTGAGCGTCAGAGCGCCATTTTCACAGGAACAAAGAGCTTGGCCAGCTTCCCACCTATCCTGGAAGGCGCTGTACTCGCCGCCTACCTGGGCATAGTATTCATGCTCCAGTTGGAGCCTCGCTCCTATCAGGCCCTTCATCATAGCCACCGCCGAGCAGCTTCTGTCCGTGGTTGCGTCGCTTTGTAGTCTTCTTTTTAAATCCTTTTATATTAAGTTCGCTTGCTTGCTTGCTTAGGACCGTGCAAATCTTTCGGTCGTTTTTTATCCCACTTCCCGTGATCCAATCGAGCTGACATTTTGCACACAGACTCGTTGTGTGTGACAATGAATTTTCGTGAAATTTTTTTCCAAAATTTTACACTGTTTAGGAAAATGTTTTTAAATATTTATTTACCAATTGGTTAATGCTGGCACACAATCATCTGACCCATAGGTGGCAGCCATCTCAAGCCAGAGGACGAGAGGACTCTAGCCGCCCCGATGCCACGCATATAAAGGATTTATAGTGAAAAACTTTGTTTTTACGGGTTAATTTTTTTCCGTGTTTTGTAGATGGCTAGCTTTGCTTGTGCGAGTACAAAATTTGCTAGAACATGGCGTTTGTTTGTTCTGCGTGGTACTCCACACACACAAGAGTGCTTTTGAAAAAAGGTATCTCCAACTTTTTGAAGATGGACCCTAGTGTCCAAAAGAGTGGTGCCAGTCTGACATTTTATATATATGGGCGAGGTCCTCTCTCCGGCCGCAGAAAGCGAACGCGTCGGGTGCTTCTGGGGTGACCTTTTTCTCCCACGCTGCTGAGCGCAGCACTCAGTGAGCCAACCTCCATTGGAGGTCCCCGCTGCGTTTTGCCACCGGGGCCTTGTACAGTTCTGCCCACTGAGGGGTGACGTCTATCAGTGGGGAGAACACATCTTTCCACTTCGTGCAGGGCAGGTTTTCCAGAGCCTGTCGGTGCAGAGTCTTCACGCAGCAGCTGTATATTGTTTCCTTGGAGGCGCTTTTTAGAGTGTCGTTTCCGCAGTTCTCGAGCTTCAACAGCATTCCTGCGTCACGTCGCCCAGCGGGCTGGACGCAGGCAATGCGCAGCTCTGGGAAGTGCGGGAGGGGATGGGTGAGCGATGTCTGCGTCTCTGGGTGTGTTCAGTTGCAGTTTCAGGGTCTTTGCCGCTGCGAGTGTTGTGCGTAGTATCTTTTCCCCGGCCAGTATGGTGCGGAGGCCCGCGGTACGGCTTATTTCAGCCGCACTTTTCCATTTAAGGCGGCCTCCGTGATCTTCTACGGAGGTCTCCAACTGTTCGTACTCCGGCTGTGGCGAAACGAAGTGCCATTGTTTCTCCTGCCGAAGCTCCATTAATAAGTTGTTGAAAAATAGGGGTTCCTTCATAAAGGCGCTCATGCTACAGTATGGATTTGTCCTGTTCCACTCCAGGCTTCGCCACGCTTCTGTTATGCTACGATAGTAGAGTGGCAGCCCCCTGCAGTCAATTTGGCCAAGATCTGTGAGGAAAAGTTCTTTCCCGTACCCTATTCGTCCTCTCCCGCGTGCCTCAGCAGGGCAATGGCCAGCGATTTCCATGGCGCCTCTTCCGGGTTATGGAGTAGGCTGTTCACGGCTTGAAGTCGAAAGACCACGATCCGGGCGGCAATGTCTGTCAGGCCCTGTCCACCTTCGTTTAGCGGCAGATGGAGGACACCCGGTTTAAGCCAGTGCTTGACTGCCCAGACGAGCGCTTTATTTGCTTTCGCTGTCAGCCATCCCGGGGGGGTGAAGGGCTTTTGTTCTGTGCCACAGTATTGAGGCGGCAAGGTTATTTGCGATCAGCGTTCTTCCTCGAAAAGACAAGTGTGGGAGGAGATGTACCCACGCTCCCAGTTTGGCTTCAGGCTTCTCAAGTAGTTCTGTCCAGTTTTTTTGGACCGTCTGAGGTTTGCCTAGGTAGACACCGAGATTTTGGACCCCGTCCTCCTGCCACGTTACCCCGCCTGGGAGGGCCGCCGGTTGCGCGGGATTCCATGGTCCGACTCTCAGCGCCGTGCATTTCTGCCAGTTGACTTTAGCACTTGTGGCGTTTTCGTATGTTTCCACTGCATGGCATAGCGCGGCGACATCTTCCTGGTTGTTAACTATTACGCATATGTCGTCCGCGTATGCCGAGAGCTTGACGCTCGCTTTGTCGGGTCCTGGAATTTCCAGCCCGGTTAGGGTGTTCCTCAGGCTTCTGAGGAGCGGCTCTAGAGATAAAGCATAGAGGAGCCCTAACAGGGGACATCCTTGCCTTACTCCCCTCGTTACGGGGAAAGGACGGCCCAGGCGTTGATTGATCTTGAGAGTGCTGTGTATGTTGGTGTATAGTAGTTTGATGTATGTTGTAAAGGTAGTTCCGAATCCGAGAGAGAGTAGGAGTTGTCTTAGGTACTCATGGTCTACCCTGTCAAAGGCTTTCTCTTGGTCCATGAAGAGTAGCCCTGCGCTTGTGTTTTGCATTTCTGCTATGTATATGATGTCTCTCACCGTGTTTATATTGTTGTGAATGCAGCGGCCCGGGACACAATAAGTCTGTTCTTGCTGTATGATGTAACCTGCCACGGTCTTCAGGCGGTTCACTATAGCCTTGGCGATTATTTTGTAGTCTGTACACAGCAGGGAAACGGGCCGCCTGTTTCTTATTTGTCGAAGGTCTCCTTTTTTGGCAGCAATGTTATGACCGCCCTTCTGCAGCTCAAAGGCATTTCCCCTTTCCTCAGGCTTTCCTCCAGTAGTTCCAGCAAGCAGGGGCCGAGCATTTCCCAAAAAGCCGCGTAGAATTCCACTGGCAATCCGTCAATTCCCGGGGACTTCCCTTTG